AGGGAGCAAGATGGGGCCAGCTCCTCCTCCAGTCCCTTGCTTTACCAGGCCCTCCTCACCTTCCATCCCTCCCTCCATATCCCTTTCTGTCTCCTCCCAGGCCAGGAGTTACTCAGGCCATGGGCAGTGGGAAGTTATGAATATTTAATTGCCTTTCGCATCAGGAAGCGGGCAGGGCAGCTGCAACCTCAGCAGGTCAGGGAGAAGGAAAACAGGAAGGGTTGGGATGAGACAAGGGGGAATAGAGGCCGAAAAAGCCCCAGAAAGAGGGAGCTCATCTCTGTCTTGCCAGAGGTCAGGCCAGGCCTGGGTAGAGATGGGGCAGCTCAGAGTCAGAAGCCCAGAGGCAGTTCAAGGCTGGGAGAGTCCTGGAGGCAAACCCTCCACTCAACAGGCCCCAGGGAGGGTGAGCTGGAAGCAGGGTTCCCCTGGAGCCAGGAGGCAGCAGTTCCTGGCATTGCCAGGGCACAAGGAGGTGGCAGGGGAGAATGAGGTGAGCAGGGGAGGGGGAGGAAGAGAGAGGAAGGACAGCGGAGATAAAAAGAAAGGCAGGGGAAGAGAAACTGGGAGGCCCTGTAACATTCCACACCCAGGAGGCCCTCAAGGCCACACACACAGATGGGAGTCCTGACAGCTGCACACATTAGAGGCTTCAGGTGGCTTCTTTCTGTCTCTGCCTCTCCCTCCATGTTCCTCCATGATCCTTTGCTTACTGACTCCTCCACTAAATCTAGCTAGGAAACTGCCTTTCCACCCCAGTGCATGCTCGGAACTCTGCCCTGCCAGGTGGTCTTTCTCCAATCCACACAATAGAAAGACTGCAGGGGGTAAATGATGGTGCAGGCAGGTGTGTGCATGCACGCCAGTGTGTACTGAGGCTGAGTGTGTGTTATACATTTAATTTCCATGCACATCCAAGCAGAGTGAGGTCCCTTATTTATGCGACTTGGAGGTAATATGTGTCACCTGTGCTGGGGGATACAGGTGTACAGCACTGTGACTGAGAGCAGGGAGTTAGGCAATCTGGAGTCCCAGTTCTGCCACTAACCTGCCCTGTGATCTTTAAAGCAAGTCACTTCAGCACTCTGTGCCCTAGGCTCCTGGTCTGTAAAATGGGTACACTTCTTAGGATTATTGTGAAGATTCAGTGATACAGCAGTGTGTGAGATGGGAGTGCTAGTCTCATACCTGGCATGAGACAAGCACTTAATAAATGGGGATCCTTATTAATATTGCTGTTGTAATTGGCATGTCCACTCAGATAGTGGTGACAAAGAATCAGGCTGTAAGGCCACAACACACACACACACACACACACACACACACACACACGTCCCCAAGGGACTCTACCCCCCACCCCTCCAGTGCTAGGTGGCCTTGGCTGGAGATAGGGCCAAACAAAACTTACCAAAAACCTCATCCACGGGTTCTCGGAGCTTTGAAGAAGCCATGACTCAAGAAGAGAGCTAGGGAGGACAAGGAGGGAAGAGAGAAAAAGACCATGGGTAAGAGGTTCAGGCTGGTGGAGGCCAAGGAGCTGCCAATGGCTGCCTTCCCTCGGAACTCTTCCTCCAGCCCCTGGAAGAGAAGTCATCTGAAACATAGCCCAGATTGTCGGGGTTGGACCAGGAGGCAGAAGCAGAAAGCAGGGACAGAAGCAAGTCCAGGGTGTAGACACAGCTGAGTCCGGCAGTGCTGGTCCCAGCTGATTTGCCATGTACCTCTCTCTACCCGAGTCACTGAACGTTTCCCCTCACTCTCTTGGGCCTTTCCATTGTTTACTTTCCCTAAAAATATTTAATCATCATAAGTTGTCCTACATCAAATCTAATAAAAACCTTGGAGATGATTAAATCCAATGCTCTCATTTTATAAATAGAGAAACAGAAGAATGATTGGCCTAAGATCACATAAGTTAATGGCACAATCAGGACCAGAACTCAGGTTCTTCCATCTATCCACCTTCCTCTACCTCCCTACTTATCTACCCATCTATCCATCTATTCATTTGCTCATCCATCATCCATTCATCCACCCATCCAACATCCATCCATCCATCCATCCATCCATCCATCCATCCATCCAACATCCACCCCCATCCATACATTTACTCATCTTCGCATCCATCAGTTCATACCATCCACCCATCCATCTTTCCATCCACCACCCAGTCCTGCCTCCCCCATCCCCCATCACTGGTACACTTACCACCTGCCTTCCTGAACACGAGCTGTTCAGGAAGCTGGTGCCATCAGCAGCAGGGCCCCTGTTTTTGACAAACTCACAGTTCTAGACAGACTCACAGATGCTAGAGGGTATGAAGAGTACTCACAGCACAACAGTGGACAGTAAAATCTCTATGACACATCAAGTATGTTCTGGGAAGTGTGGATGGGTAGGGGTTTGTTATGCTTTTGGAGGAAAGCAAGGAGGGCAGGTGGGGAAGCAGAATATATGCAGCTGAAACAGTTTGGGCATGCTTCCCAGCAGATAGGATTATAGCAGCCAAAACCAAGGCCTGGGTATTAGAGGAGCAGGGGAATACCAGATGAGGGGAAAATGAGGAAGCTCAAGGATAGGGACATACTGCATGGCTAGGTCATGATCTCCAGTTACTTCTAACACCCAGGTCCCCATGAGAAGGGTCAAGCACTGGCCTGGACCATACGTTTGGGAAGCGAAGGGAAAGCTAGGCCACATGCCTGTTGGGGTCTTTTCCAACTCTCTTCTGTTATTATATAGAGATCATCTCACTGTGAATTGGCCAAGCTTAGGATTCTTAGTCTCCCCACTTTACAGATGGGAAAGCTGAGATGCCAGAGATAAGAAGGACAACCGTGACCCCGTTTCTTGCCCCTCAGCCCTATCCTGGATGATAATCTGCAGTTTTGGTGGGTACTCTTAAGGAAAGGACACTGTGAGGAGAAAGATAGGAGGAGTGGAGCTGGTCTATACTGGTTAAGACTGGAAGAAGCTTCAAAACCACATCCACCCCGGGCTCCATGGATGCTTAGGGCTGAAAGCAGAAAATGAGGCATGAGAAGGGGCCAGGGACATAGGCCCGCCAAGAACCCCCTGTCATTCTTGAACTCTGGGTGCTAGTAGCAAGTTCTAGAACCTCACTTCCTGTCCTGAAGGGTGAGATGGGATGAGAAGGGAAGCTGCTTCTAAGAATAAACCAAATTCCCTCATTCAATTCCAAGGCTTCGTCTGACCAGGACCCAACGGCCACCTCCTCCAGAAAGCTGTCCCAGATAGCCTTCCCTCCTCCCATTTGTCTATATAATTTCTAAATCCACTCTTCCCCAACCACTGGGTAATGAATGTTTCATACTTGATCGATTCCCTAACTGGGTCATATCTCCTGCACATCTGATGGGAGCTCCCTGAGGAGAGGGGCCAGTATTCCCCACCAAACTAGGGACTCTCTGAAGATAAGAATGGAGGCTCCCTGAGGGCAGTAGTGGTACCTGCTCTCTTAGACTACCTGAGATGGACATCCCATGTGTTCTTTTAATTTTTAATTTTATTTTTCAATTACAGTTGACATTCACTATTATATTAGTTTTACCATCCGTTCTTTATTCAAGGTCCCAGTCCAGGGTGGCGACCCTCTTGTGGATGGAGTCCTCTTTCAGGTACCCTCTGGGCTGGGCTGGGGCTTCCAGCTCACACCCCACCCAATCCATCCTGATTCAGCACAAGCTGCTTTCTTTCCCACATCTTTCAACAACTAACTCCCTGAGGTGTATATGGGGGACCCTCCCTACACTGCTCCGTGGGGAACTCTGGGAAGCCTGATATAACAGAGGTCACCAGGACCCTCCCCGCAAAACCCTCAGTCCAAAACTGAGTCATGGAAAATTAGAAACCAACCACCCCACCACCATCACTCACACTCCTTCTCTC